ACTATCAAGGAGGAGCTGAGTTAGAGCAAAGCAAAGGTTTATGTTTATGCATTCTGTGTCAAAATGTCTAAATATGTTCTCATAGTAACAAACATTATTTTATTAGCAAGACATCTTAAAACGTAAGCCGTCCGCTTGAGTGTGCATCTGGAAAAAACCCTTGAATAAGAACATTTATGACAAAAAACTAAAATTTGAATATAGATTTTGTTTTGCCTCAAGATAATCAAAAACACTTTGTAAAAAAATCCCAACTGAAATTATCATAATTCGTGCATAAAAGGGTTAAAGGACATGAAAATGTTTATTTAATTTTTTTAAGTGCAAAAACAACCAGAATTCAGTGTTTTTTTTCACATAGTTGGGATGACAACAGAAAGGCTTAAATTTAGAGCCAGTTTAGATAAAAACTCTTCCTCTTGTACATCCTACAACCAGTGGAAAATCTGCTCCACCAAAAGGTTGAGCAGGATGGTAAAGGGTTATGGTGGATTAGGAAAAAAAAGACTTTTTAACATTTTATTTATTTTATTTGTTTATTTGACAGGGAAAGTACAATTAAACATTGCAACCAAACAGGTGGCCGATGTCCAACTACATAAGGCTTGTAGCCATGGGCTAATTTGCAGCCTTCGTCCCTGGTTAGGCTTTTAAAAGGTGTTAGCATTAAGAAACAAGAGAAGTTAAAACAAAACAAAAAAAAAGTAAAGTACAAGCCAGTTTAGTGCTCACACTCTTGACTGTCTTTGAGCCATTTTTTCAATTTTGTGGAGAAAAGTTGAACATCAGTCTGTGACTGACCCGTAGATGTCCGACATCTTTTAATCCTGCAGTTCCCACTAGCTCCAGCTCTTGTCCTGATTCCTTCATTTGCATACTTTAAAACAAATTTACAGATTACTTCAGGGGCAAGACCATTAAGGCAATTAACTCATGGACTGCCAGACATTTTCAGAACAGAGAGTCGCTCACTGCCAGAGTTTTTGGAGCATTTTGACTGATTTTTCAAGAGCCACAGAATAGTTTGTGCTATGACTATGTAAACACCCAACACACCAAAAGAAAGAGTAGACTCTCTTCTTTCATCAGGAAAAAAAATGTGTTTCTACCTTATTCCGTTCTTCTTCGACGTGCGTCTCACCGGCTCCATTTCTCGCATAGCGAACCATTGCGTTTGTTTTTATTTGCCTACAGTCTATGCTCATCTCCCATCAAAAGTGGCACTGCCACCTAAAGGGTCAATTTGTTACTACATACTCTGTCTGGAAGCCGATATTTACGGAAAAACTTTAGCCGATTGTTCCCCAAGCCACTCGCATTGAAAAACATTAAAGACGTCTATAGACGTCTTTGGCAGCGAATGAGTTAAAAATAGCTTTTAAAAATGAGAAATTTATCAAATTTTCAAATCTTCCTATTTGGTCCGTTTGGTTTGTTGAAGGCAGTGAAGTATCCATCACCTCCCAGTGTGCGGCGGTTGTTTGACCTCTCGTTAGCATTCAGCGGCGGGTGACCTGAACCCCTCCGTCATCGCTCCGTTTATATGGCAGAAGCATCAATTACCGAGCCGTTAATTACTGTCTGGAGCAGACAGTCGGTGGAGGGAGACGGACGCCGTAACCCTGAAGAGCGCCCGCGGACCATAAACAACCCGTTTGTACGAACACACTCCAGAGATGCCGTAAATCCCGAAGACGGGAATCTAGGAAAGGAGGGTTTCCGTGACAATGAGACGCTCGTATATCAGCCGAATGCCTTCACTGCTCCATTTCACCCCGAGGAACCAAAGAAGCACTCCAGTCGGACACATTAGCACTTTTAATTTGGGCCATACGGGTGGGAATGTACCCGTCAAGGACCTGGAAAATCCGACATTAAGAAGATCTACGGCAATGCAAAGCGGTGAACGCTGGAAGGATCCATCTCTGAATACCATCTTATTATCGTTATCCTCGTTATTGTTATCTACCTGCAGAGCAGGAGAAGCTCAGAGGAGGCGAAACGCTGTTGTTCTGCTCAGGCTTTTTCATTTCTACGTGCAGATTGCAAGGCAAGACAAGGCATTTTTATTTATATAGCGCAATTCATACCAAGCGGCAACTCAATGTGCTTTACATTAAGACAAGACATTTTAAATGAAAAAGAACAGCATAAAACAGCATAAAAAAAATTTGCAGCTCCTTTTGCCAGGAGGGGGGGATTCGCTACGTGATTGATCGCGTTTGTTTCTCTTGAGAAGTTTCTGAAGTATGGAGACAGCAAAAGGTCACCGTGGGACCGATGTCAGATTCATGAGTCCTTAAACCTTCAAACCCTGAGCTGTACTTTGTGGAGAAAAATACAAATTTACGAAAATCTAAAGGAATGAAAGAATAATTTCTCCTAACCTGAGCAGCGGGCACGTTAGTCGTCTTAATCTCGTTAGCTAGGTCTAATTTGAGATTTTTTGCTTTTATTATAGGGGTCAGGTGAGGCCTAACTATGATGACCCACCTTTGCTCAACCAAAGGGGCTCAAGAGGGCCCCAGACCACCAAAGAAAATGGACATTTGGGGTCCTCAAGCAAAGCAGACGTACCATATCCTTAAGCTCTCTGGGGATCACACGGTTATTCAATTCAATTTTCAATTCAGTTTTATTTCTATAGGGCCAAATCCCAACAACAGTTATATAATAGCTTTCCAAACAGAGCAGCTCAGAATGGACTCTGAGGTTATTTACAGAAGAACAACAATTCCCACCAAGAGAAGCACTAGGCAACACAGGGAAGGAAAAACTTCCTTTTAAGAGGCAGAAACCTGGACTAGAACCATTGCTCAGGGTGGGGGTGAGAGACAGAGAGGGCAAGAGAGAGAGTGAGAGAGAGGACAGAGGGAGGTAGACTACACAGTAACACATAGACTGGATGGAAAATGGTAAAGATGTTGATACTAATGATAATAATAGCAATAATAACAGCAATAAGACTATGAACAGTGGCTTTAATTGTATCATTGACCTGAGCATCCATCCTGACAGATGTTTCAGATGCTTCGTCAAACAAAACCATGTGTTACGAGGACCCTGGAAGCTGATTGGACCAATCAATCAATCAATCAATCAATCAATCAATCAATCAATCAATCACTGTTTATTTATATAGTACTTTACAACAACCGGAGCTGACCAAAGTGCTTTACAGTAATAAAAACAGACCAAACTATCGAAATATACAAAGACAAACACATTGGTGACAGAACCCAGTTTACAATGATTTTACGTGCAAAACGCCATTCTGAACAAATACGTTTCAAGTTTAGCTTTGAACCGAGGCAGATCAGTGAATGAACGTAGCTCAGTGGGCAGAGAGTTCCTCAGTTTAGGACCTGCCACTGCAAAAGAGCGGTCACCCCACTGCTTGGACCTGGACCAAGGCCATTAACTGCTCGAAAAACAAACATGAGTATTTTGGACGAAGCCTTTTGTCGCCGTCTCCAACAAACTAAACCGACCAGGCTAAACAAACCGGGTTTTAAAAAAACCAGTTCAGCAGCACCTGCAGCTGCAGCCACTCAGCAGCTTTTTGCATTTATGCAAATACCGATTTATTTCCATAGATTTGACTCGGTAGCCTGATACTCTGGGAGGTGGACTCGTGCGCTTTCTGGCTTCTGTCGGTGGATAGAAGTGCTTAGTCTGTTCTGCCCATTAATTACGCTAACTCTCGCTTAAGTTGGATTATAAATTGCCGGGGAAAATAAACAGCCTCTGCCAGCGTTTTCGCAATAAGGGGACATTATGTATTTTCTTCAGCTGGTTCCCATTAGGTCTTGAGACTGGGTGAAGCAACACAGTACGCCGTGTCGTGGCTAATTTAGCAAAAAAGCGAAGTTCCCCAACTTTTCCTCGTGAGTCCACATTAATTTCAAGTGGAGACCTCATCCAGACGCACCGCTTGTGTATCCATAAAACTCTCCGCCACAGAAAATAAGCAGAGATATGGCAGTGAGTTTAAGCGTGCCCAGTCTGTGTAGTCTATATCCAAGCACATGTTTGTTATTTTACACCGTGCACACTCACTTGCACTTAATTGTGATCCATCGTTCACGGCGATGTAATGCTTCGCTTTACAGCCTCTGAGAGCTCCGTCGCCTCGTAAAATGTGTTTTTAACCAGGTCCCTTCTACGGAACGCCATTTCATTCCGTTTAATATGCCCATGAAATGAATCAAACTAAATTAATAACGCAAATTCCTCAA